AGTTTTGAATATAGTTTTATTCTATATTCAAAGATTCTAGTTCTCTGTGCAGTGAATGTACAGAATTTCTTATACATAATCTACATTTATAAAATGTATATTGCGATTGTTCGTATTCTAGTTTAAGTTGTTTTTTTTCATATTTTAATTTTTTAATTTTTTTGTTTATTGCTTTAATTTTATTTTTATGTTTATTTTCTTCTTCGTCTTCTTCATCCAAAGTTTTTTCTAGTAATTCGTATTTTTCATCAATTTTTCTTTGGATGTAAGTTTCGTCTGAACGAGAAGCCATTTTATTTTGAAACTGTAAATGTTAATATTTATCTATCAATCAATATATTGAATAAAATAAAAAAAGTCGAGTCATAATAATTATAAGCGATACAATATTATTTTTCCTTTATATTATATTATATTATATTTAACTCATATTATTTGACAAGTTTTCACAACACAGTTAAAATATTAATAAAAAATATTGAAGATATAGATATGTACAAGCATATACGTTTGAAAAAAAAATAAAAAAAATACTATATGCTTGTATTATCTATAAGTTCAACATTATTTACATATTTTACATCATAGAATTCAATGTTTATAATATAATCTCATGGTTTACATAAACATAATAAGTTTTAATAGTTCTCAATACATTTTCTTTTTACAAAATATAATACATTCTTAGTTATTTATACAACATATTTGTAATAATTAAAATATAATATCTAATAAGAATTATATTAACAATTTTCTTGCATGTATAAAGCGATAATAATTATAATAATAATAATAATAATAACCAATTATAATGATAGTTGTATATAATAACATTAAAAGCCTTTACATATAATAGGAATACATGAACATGGTTTTGATTAAGAAAAAAATAAAAATAAAATTTATTATTTTTATTATTTTTTTCTTAATCAAAATAATCGTTACGATTTTAATATTTACTTTTATCTTTCAACTTCATTTTTAAAATATATATTAAATAACAATATAATTAATGTTTTACAGTGTATACATTTAAAATAATTTTAATAGTTATACATTTATAGTATATAAATATAAAATGAGAAATTATCTTTCAAACATCTTAGATAATTGTTTTATTGTTAGTTTTTTATTTATGAGATATATTTCTCATTCTATCTAAAACAAAAAATTCTGAATATGTTACGGGTACAGGTACGGAGTCAATACTAGTAGGGAACGGATTACTTTGTAAATCAACACCTTTAGTTAAGAACCGTCCACATAATATACATCGTGTATAATAACAATAATCTTTAAACGCTTGTATATCTTTAAATCGAACAAACTGGTATAAAGGATTGTAAGTTCGAAACGTATTACCACTAGATCTTTCATGATGATAACATGCACTGCTACAATACTTTTGGTCCCCAACATTTTGTATACACAGTTCAACTAATGTATAATTTCCAAGTGGATCGGTTAAAATATTTAATACATGCTCCTTTACCATAAATGGATAATAATCTCCTACTAACATAAAGGTGATTTCAGGGTTAAAACGATAATATTCTAAAGATTCTAGAACACTGTTGATTGTTCTATTTCGTATATTGTTTGAATCGATTGAAAACATATTGTAATTTATAAAAAAATTCAACCCGTAAAAAAATAAAACAACATTAAATTAGATTTATAACTATTTTATGATATCATAACTAATGTTCAACAATACAATTTCTATTTTAATTGAATATTGTACACGTATTCGTTTGATTCGTTCCATATGTAAAGTACGCGTACCTACCTGGCTACCTATAATAATTTTTTTTATAAAAATAATATCTATAGTTATAGATGGAAAGAAGCTGAGTGCAGTGTAAAAGTATCGATAACTGATTTAGCAAAGGATCAAGGGCTCGCAAACGATTTATCCAACATCATACAAACAATATTTACACGGTTCATGTCTGATCCAAACAAGAAAATAGGATGTATTAAAAAATCAAAATCATAATAAATCTGTTTGTAATGGTTGTTGAAAATTAAAATAAAAAACCAATATATTAACTAATCGTACATTTATTTTTAAAAGTGATACAAAAGTACCTAGTGTATATGATTTAGTGTCATGATGTGTAAAAATAAATTACAGGTTAATAGCTGATGTACCTAATTCTAACTCTTGTAATATCATATTTGATAATGAGTTATAATGATATTGTAAAAAATCATACATAAAAGAAATATCATTAGTTTCTATATTAGTATAACTTAAGTTATAATTCTGAATATATTAGTTTGTAAATTCATTCCGTCGACAAGAAGAGGGTAACCCGTTAATATCTGCCATAATTAATGCATATGTTGTGTCAAAAGTCTTCTGGTAACATGGTAATTTTTTCTGCTTCTCGATTATATAGAGATCGATACAAGCTCCAAGCTGATTCAGCCTTTGCAAATCGACATGTGATAAAGTTATATAATTTTCATTAGAATATAATATGATTGAAGACTGTTTCACATTAACGGAATAGCTTAAGTTATCAGTTATTCTTACACGTTTACATCGGTTTTGTAGATTATCAATAATTGCTTTATAATTATTTTCACACATTAATGATTGCCATTAGTTTAGATCGAGGCTTAAACTCTTTTTAGTAATTATACATTTTAATATTACAACAATCGAAATCTTTTTGTTAACTAACAAACCTACTGTTAAACTTTTCTTTCCATATTGACGAATTTCAAATTCTGACCTTGAGACAATCGGTGAAATCATATTGTAGCGAGCTTATAATACTTACCGATATATTTTTGTTCGTTCTGGCGATTATTGTTTTAAAAAATTATACTATGATTATCAGAGTGTTAATTGTATACTGATTATATTTTATTCATACAACAACGTTTTATACTAAAAAAGTTAAATACAATTTCAAAAAAGTAAATACGTGACCTAATTGATAAGTGTGGAGGGAGGGAGCTTATTATTAATTATATATCTCGTATTATTCCTGCAAATTAAATTAAACAAACATCTGTTACCTAGATTTGAACCTTATATATTGAATTAAAAACTTCACGTCTTATCCATTAGGTCACGTATTTACAAGATATAGAATGGAATAATAACACATTTAAACTGTTTTAATAAAATACAACATTTTATTTTAATATCGTTCATACGTTTAAGCAGTTGAGCGAGTGACATATTTAGTTTCACAATTACATTAAGTTCTTCCATATTTGGTTATTATGTTTTCTACAAAGTGGTTACCTTTCGATAATAATACATAAATACATTTGGAATTATGTCTCGAGTGTTCGATCCATGGAATGTCATCTTTCTTCCAGTCATGTAATACAAGTCCGCAAGAGAAGCATTCCACAATATCTTGAACCCCTGTATATATAAAGCCGCGTTCAGACAATACATATTTGTTTTGAGGTATAGTTGATGGAAATATATTATATGTTTTTAATCTTGATGTGAATGTAACATATTGCGGATATGTTGGATATGGTTGGTTTCGTATTAAAGAAACTAATGAAGAATAATTGCTGGTGGTTTTTTGAAAGTTCATGTTTTTTTTTTATTTTAAAGGAAAAACATTAAATTGGAAATTTTTACTTAAAAAATAAATGTATAAGTGAAACAAGACAATAAAATAAAAAGCATAACTTGGTTTAACAACGGATTATTCGTTACTGAAATGTATAGCTAACTTAATTTTAGTACGAGTGACTATAAAAAGTTCAGTGTTGCCAACGCTTATGAGTAATACATTGATGGTAAAAACATATTTATTTTGTTTGTGTAACAAAATGATATAGACACAGTTATGTGTTGTGTACTTGTGTTGTACACAACACATAACTTTTACTTGTGTACAATTTGTGTTACACGGAGGAGCATGTAGAAATGCCCCGCTTGAAATGAAGAAATCTCCCTGTAGAAAAGGTGCTCAGAACGCACATTAGGGTTTTTGAGATTATGTGTTACACGGTGGAGCATGTAGAAATGCCCCCCCCCCTTGAAATGATGAAATCTCCCTGTAAAAAAGGTGCTCAGAACGCACATTAGGGTTTTTGAGATTATGTGTTACACGGTGGAGCATGTAGAAATGCCTCCTTAAAATGAAGAAATCTCCCTGTAAAAAAGGTGCTCGGAAGGAACAAATATATACTACTGACGGACACTGATCGCAATTAAACATGTTTAAAATGTTTGAAATGAAAACAAACGAAAAGAATATAGTGTTTAAACACTGACAAAATTAAACACTTGAAAAAATTGTAAATACTGTTGAGTAAGGACTGTGAAAACACGAAGACAGCAAAGGCAAAGTAAACGTGAAGGTATGGGTGTCTGGAACAGACTGGCTCTGTCTATGCAGACAACGGAGCAAGTGTCCAGAAATCTGAGCATTTCAAGCGGTGGGTTACCAAAATATTAATCGGGTATTTACTATGATAAATGTGTACATCACTAGTTATTACCAATTATTTTAGGAACCATCGTTTATCAGTAAAATTTCCAGGAATTCGTCTGTGCGTGTTGACAACAGACCGGACGAAACAGGTCGTTCCGCCGACAATAGAACAATAGAACGTTTACTATCAATACGTGTCTTACACGATATTGTATATTTTTATACATAACCCTTACTCGATGAAGCCTTACAAAAATATGACCTATATTCTACTTTTAAAATTGCCGCTAACATAACCATCTAACAAAATATTTGAAAATCGTGTTGCTTACAATAGATTTTCGTCCCATCGGCTTACAATAGATACCCCTTTACAAAAATAGTTACTGACATACCAAGAAAAGCGACCATATGCTACTTTTAAAATTACCACTAACATAACCATCTAACAAAATATTTAAAAATATTAATATATTTTGAAAATATAAATTATTGAATGCATGGTTTTAAAATTTAAAAATATATTATTTTAAATTTATATATATATTAATAATAAATAATATAATTATTACAACCCCCTCAAAAACCTTCATATTCATCCATGTGCAGGTTAAGTTCTTCATCATCTTCATATGCCTCCATATTACTGATCAACTCCTCGTCATTTCCGTCTTCACTCCAATCCATTTCTGCTGTCTGCTCTCCAGAATGACGCGACGTATTCATAATTTTCCCTTCAAATAGCATGTTATATTCGGGGGCTAACATGGCCCGAGGAATTCCTACCGTGCTATTTGAAACTGAGGACTGGGAATCTGAGTCTGGAAAAAGGTCGTTTCTCACCCTCAGTACGTATGCTATCGGTGTTGTCGGTGGAAACATGTCTGGCGAAGCTTCTTCCAACAAGACAGGCTGAACCGGTGTCAAAGAACGTTGACAATTCTCCATCTGTGATACTCGAGGTGGTGATGGTGTTGCAGGGGGATGAAGAGGCGAAAATGCCCTATGCCAATCATTATTTTCAACTTGCGTGCCCTGGTTAGTCAAGTAACCACTATCTCCGGATTGAGTCTAAATAATAATAATTTATTTTATATTTTATTTTTAAAACAAAAAAACTTACCATTTCACCATATACGAAAAAGTCATGCTCATGCATGTTGATGAGAACTGGAGACTGGCTATGTATTTCGGCCAGACGTCGATTATACTCATCTCCTCCATATACCGGAGTACTCGGTGATGAATTATTTGACATCTAAAAATCGGATTATATGTAATTCTTAAAATATCTTACGAATAATATAAAACAAAATACTCACATTTTTACCGGTAATGATTATCACAAACGAAATTTTAAAATCATAAATACCTACTATGATAAATAAAAATCTCATATAAGTAGATAAATCCGTATCTGAATATCTGTTGAGAAAAACTGTAAACGCAAAATGTGTGTACACCGGACAAAAGACTGGATACACACTGATCGACCAGCCACATGGGTAAGGTACCGACCGTCCGTTGATCTCAAACATATTGTTTGTTGAAGTAGGTAGTTGTTTTTTTTTTTTTTCAACTATTTAGAGAAACACGATGCTAGGTGAAAATAGATATTATGTGAGTAAAGATAGTGAGCATATAGTTTTTCTGAAATAATAAAAACTGATGTATGGTAATAAGGAAAATATTATTTATTAGTTCATTTTTAGTTCAGGTTTCTTATTCTATGTAGTATTAAACGAGAAGTGTCGAAGTCGAAATCTAAGTAGATAAGAATGGTTAGGACATATTTTAACGTCCAATCCATTTCTAATTTTTCCCTAATGCGTTCGGAATCGAAAATCGCAATTCGCCTAAGTCCATATAGTAACTGCATAATGATATAGTACTGGGTATGCCTCCTGATCGTACTAGATGAGTGTAATAACTCACGAAACGATAGTTGAATCTATAATAAATTATCTAATATTAGTAAATCTAATCATATTTGTAGTGTTTGTTCCATGACCTTAGATATAACCTTAAAATATTTGTCAATTGTCATATACTCACACAGTCACTCATGTTATTAGTATGCTTTGTAGTATGCTTTGTAGTTGTTCAGTTCTTTATTATGTTATGTTAAAAATATTAAAAGAACACTTAGTTAAATTGTTTATTGTTAATTTATCATCATCCTACAAATATTACAATGGCGACGAAGTATTGACGTATTCGCGTGTGCTGAACTGTTGAAGTATTGGAAATTTGGAACACGTGGAAATTTATCAATTGTTGAGTCAAAATGCCAAATGAACAAGATTCGTCTCAAGTTGTTACTCAAGCTTTTGGTGTTGGTAATAGCCGTTTTTGCATAGGGCAAATGTCGGAATTGCGTTTAAAGGATGATGATTTCAATGCGTGGGTTGAAAGGTTTGAGTTATATGTTAACCTTAATGAAATAAATAAGCATAAGAAAAAGTTAATGTTTCTAACGTTATTAGGGGATGATGGATATTCCTTAGTTCGTGACTTATGTACGCCTAAAAAACCCTTGGATCTTAGTTATGATGATCTTAAAAAGTCGTTGTCGGATTATATTAATCCTAAACCGAATTTAATAACAGAACGTTATAAATTCAAAGAGCGTAAACAGGCAGCTGATGAGACTATTATTCAGTTTTCCACGGCACTCAAGAAGATGTCCGAGTTTTGTGAATTTGCTACCAGTTTGAATGAGTCTTTGCGTGATAAGTTCATATGGGGCGTTAAGGACAATAATATTTAAAAAAAACTATTATCAGAAGGTACTATAACCTTTAAAAAGTGTGTGGAATTGGGACTTGCAATGGAATCAGCAAGTAACGACGTCACAAAATTGGATCAACAACATGCAGTTAATTATCATAAACAGCTCAAGAGTAAGAAGTATCAAAACAACGTCGGGAACAGGATACCACCAACAAAAGATAATGGGAAGGCTACTACATCAAATGCCAATGGTAAAAAGGATATGGTTTGTTATTGTTGTGGGACAAAGGGTCACACAAAGCCATTTTGTAAGTACAAATCATATTCATGTTCAAATTGTTCTAAGTTAGGTCATCTAAAAAAAGTGTGTAAAGCTAAGGTAAAATAAGTTAATAATTTAGAACAATGTGATGTCGATTTAAACTTAGATAATTTATTCAATTTAGAAACTGTTAATGTTAATTATGTTCAACCTTATTGGGTGAAATTGAGTGTTGATTTTATAATTGTGGAGTTTCAAATAGATACGGGTTCGAGTATGACTGTTATAAATGTTAATGATTTAAAAAATTATGAGATTAAATATTTGAACAGAGTGGAACAATCTAATGTGCGGTTGAAAACTTATAACAATTCAGTCATTGTGCCTTTAGGTGTATTAAAAGTTAGAGTTCAATATAAAGATGTTTGTAAAGAATTGGAAATGGTTGTTGTTAAAGAGGGTGGTCCTCCAATTCTTGGTCGGGAATGGTTGACTAAGTTAAGTATTCCAATGTTTTCTGGTACTTATTCATTATGTAAATTAACATCATACCAGAATGTGGTACAAACTTTTCCGTCTGTGTTTAATGGTATTTTGGGTTGTTATAAGCACAAAATGTTTGATTTAATTCTTAAAAAAGATTTTAAGCCTGTTTTTCTTAAACCCAGAGTATTACTCTGACGTTCAACTCCTCGGCTTTCCAACTTTCACCATTTACTGGCTCATCTGATTACTTATCCTATGAACTTCCTTCCGATATAACGTTTTCTGTTGACGATGTTTTTTCCGCTCTTAAATCGTTAAAAAATACATACTCTAATGGTCCAGATGACATATCCGCTCAATGCTTGTACAATTGTCGTTTTTCTATTGCTTATCCAATATATTTACTATTCAGGCGTTCATTAGATTTAGGTATTTTTCCTAAGGTTTGGAAAATATCCTCTATAGCACCTGTTCTGAAATCTGGTGACGCTTCTGATATCCAAAACTACAGACCAATTTCTATAATACCACATATTGGTAAATTATTCGAATCGATTGTATACTCCAGAATAAAGCGTAGTCTTAATCATCTTATTATAAGTGAGCAGCATGGTTTTAGATCGCATAAATCAACCGTTACAAGTGGTGTTGCCTTCTCCTCTTATTTATCAGAAGTTATCGAACACAGAGGTCAGGTAGATGTAATCTTTACAGACTTTAATAAAGCATTTGACACAGTGGACCACGATTGCCTTATAATGGTGCTTAAGTCTTTAGGCATTGGGAATCCCCTACTATCTTGGTTGCACTCTTACATCACAGGTAGAAAACAATTCATAAAAATCAAAAATGCTGTTTCGGAGTTAGCTGTAATACCATCTGGAGTCCCTCAAGGAGGCCACCTTAGTCCTCTTTTATTTATTCTGTTTGTGAACTCGATAACCAAATGGATCACTAAGGCTAAACTCCTTCTTTTTGCTGATGATATAAAAATATTCCTTAAAATAGACAATCTTAATCAATGTCATATCCTACAGTCTGAACTAGATATTTTTGCAAGTTGGGCGTACTCCATTGGTCTTAGCCTTAATATAAGCAAATGTCATGTTATGTCGTTTTCTAGGCAGCGATCTCCTATCCACCACAACTATTCTCTTAATGGCACTTCTCTTAACCGTGTCTTCCTCTATAAAGATCTTGGTATTCATTACTCACCATCATTAAATTTTGAGCACCATATTAATGTCACTGTAGGTAAAGCTTTAAAAGTATTGGGTTTTATTAAACGCAATACTAGTCAGTTTTCTTCTGCTCGTTGTCTCTGCACATTATACTTCTCATTAGTACGTTCTATATTAGAATACGGTGTGGTAGTGTGGCATCCCTACCTTGCTAAAGACGAACTAAGACTCGAGCGTGTACAAAATAGATTTCTTTCCTACATTGCCTACATAATGAAGATACCTCACCCAATGCATGACTATTCCTTAATTCGTAGTTCATTGGGTATACCAATGCTGTCAACTCGTCGACAAGATGCTGATGAGCGCTTTTTAACCTCGCTCCTAGGTGGCACCATAGATGCACCCGATCTCCTCTCTAAAATATGTTTCCGTATCCCTTCCTTCTTCTCCAGAAATCACGCACTCTTCCAAGTTCCAACTCACAATACATTATACGGACATAATCACCCCTTGCACAGAATGCTTCGTAATCTGAACAATCTTAATTTTGATTTTAATAAGTAATTAAATAATATCATTTATAAATATGTTGTATCATAGTTATACATTACTAAATTAAGGTATTACCACTTAGTTTATATTATGTTGTGTTTTTCCATATGTTCTAATTTTGTGTGAATTTGTATTATATTATTGTTATATCTATTAATTTTAAACTTAATGTGTTAATTTAGAATTGCCGTTTGGCGTTTATATATTATAAATAAATAAATAAATAAATTACCATTTGCCTTAAAAGGTAAAGTTAGCGATGAGATTGATAGACTAGTGAATACAAATTTGCTAGTGCCTGTAGAAACTTCAGATTGGGGTACGCCTATAGTTCCTGTTAAAAAAAGTGATGGGACTATAAGACTATGTGGGGATTATAAAGTTACACTTAATAAGTATTTAGAAATAGATAGATATCCTATTCCTAGAGTAGCTGATCTAATGATTGTGTTTCAGGGGGCTGCAAAGTTTTGTTCGTTAGATTTATGCCAAGCGTATCAGCAGTTGGTACTTAGTGAAGAGAGTAAAAAACTAACAACTATATCTACTTTTAAAGGATTGTTTATGTTGAATCGATTACCATATGGTATAGCCTCAGCTCCAGGGTTATTACAAAGAGAAATGGAAAAATTATTAAGTGCTATACCAGGCACTGTATGTTTTAACGATGATATTGTAATAGCTGGGAAAGATGACAAAGAATTAAGTGAAAGACTGTATAGTGTTTTAGATAAACTTTCTTTGGCAGGTTTAACGGTAAAGAAAGAAAAATGTAATTTTTTTACCGACCATGTTACATTTTTAGAGTACAAGGTAGATAAAAATGGTCTCCATATACCCGATGAAAGAATTAAAGCAATTAATAATGTGGCAATACCTAAAAGTACACAGGATGTTAAGGCATTTTTGGGTTTGGTTAATTACTACGGTAAATTTGTAGAAAATATGTCTACTATCGCTGGTCCGTTATATTCATTGTTGAAGAACAATACACAATTTGTTTGGAATGCAATTCAGAGTAAAGCATTTTCTAAAATTAAG